TTTATTTTATAGCCAAATATTCCAGTTTTACTTAAAAAAAAATTTTAATGTTTTTATTATCTTCAATAAAGCATAAAATGTAGCTCTTTCTTTTGAATTTCCTGATGCTATTTGTACAGTATCCGGGGAAGTATTAACTTTTATAGCTGTAATATAAATATCTTCTTTCAGAGGTTTTATAAATATAGAACTAAGTTCTAAATTTACAGAAAACAAAAGATCTTGCAAACTTAATTGAAATTCTTGTACAAATTCTGGTGTAATATTACTACAATCTTCAGGAACAAGGGTGTCCAACTTTGTTACAAATTCTTGGCATAGAGCACTATCTATAGACTCCTTCACTTTAATGTGATATTCCGATATTTTATAGCCTAAGTTAATCTTTTTAGCGTTTGGTAACCTTGATAATGTTGGATAAAGAGATTTTGCAGTTTCACTAGTAGGATCAGTTTCCTCTTCCTTGTCACCAAGCTCTGTGATAATATTCAAATCAGCTACTAAGTCTGTTAACTTGTGTAACATCTTCTTTGCTGCTTCTTGTTTTGCTTGCTTTTTTGTTCTTGCAACTCCAGTTTCTCTAAAATTTGCTACATTACATAGAAAAGTAAATATTTTTCTATGAGGAGGCCCAACATCACTGACTTGTACATATTGAGGCTCTTGTAAACTGTTTTCAAGACATAGCTCCTACAATATATAGATTGATGATATATTAATATCTTTACAATAATTCCATAAAAAAAGAGTAAAGATTACATCTTACTTTTAAAGCACCCACTGCATTAACAAATGGCACATTAGGAGGCAGTCTTTCTGTTTCAGGAATTACTGGGGGTAAAGGTGTTCTTAAAGGCGACTGCGAAGTTGGTGCAGGAAGTTGAAGATATCCTCTATGTGTTGCTATAGTTTCCAGCATTGCTTTTGCAGCCTCGTGCTTTGCATCTTTCTTAGAACGTCCAGTACCATTTGCTGTAAGGCCATCGCAAGTAACTTGGTAGGTAAAGGTATTCATATGTGTGCCACCCCCATCGTGTATAAGTTGATAATCAGGCACTGACTGTTGCTTTACCATCATTTCTTGAAGGATAGATACAGGAGTTTTAATCATATTGTATAACTACACTATTTACACCTTTGTCTCTGTTATACTATGGTAAGGTTACTGTATTCTGTTATTGATAGACACTAAATTTCATTCTTTAACGAATAAATTAAGAACTGCTAAATCATAAACATCTTAACTACATTTAAACTCAAAGCATAAGTAGAGTTCCACTAATCACACAATACGTGTAACAGTCGGATAAAATATAAAATTGTTTTATCGTATACCAAGGTCACACATATTTGTTTCCAATACAGAAGCAGTGAAATGTATAAACGCGGTAAATTCAAAGTACATATAGTGAACTGCGAAATTATTCTAAAACGGAATAACTTCGGTATATTCCTAGCAAAGGGACGGACAAAGAAAATGCATGTGTTATACACTAATTAATTAGTTATAACGCTTAAATCACGAAACTGATAAACGTTTTCTGTGGAAATTTATCGTAACTAAGAAATTCGCGATCAAAATCTTCATACGGCTGTCAATATTCCCAATATGGCAGCCATTTCTGACTGTATATTAATAGAAAAAAAATCTGCCGATAGATGGCACGAGGATCGGGATTAGTGTCTAGGATATATCAGGTTGGGTGGGTAAGCTTTCCCGTTACATGTTGTGATTTCGAACACAGGAATATTAAAGTTGTAATTTCAGACATAGAAATATTGAAATATTAATGATAGCCAGCAATGGGGAATATGATGATCCGATGCGGTTGTAGGGAAAAGGGAGGGGGTTGAATCTTAAATACAAAATAATTAATTCAATTACGCGTCTTTCCTCCATAATGTCTGAATTAAAAAAGAAAGATCTTCGCGGTTATACGAACTACGAAATTAGAAACGTGTTTGCTAGACGGTGTGCCCATGCGCAATAGCCTACATATGAACGAGTAATCTGTCATATGCCGGCAGATCTCACCAATCACAGTACAGTAATTTCTCCCGGATTCGCATTACTTCAGTATTCTCAGGTTCGCGCTGTGATATTGCTACGGCCCTGTAATTTATCGATTTTCTCACTACATCGATGCTAAAGTTTGACATAGTCAGTGAACACGTGTGCTACGGCACGCTGCGCGGCTCCTTTGAATCGAATTCCCGAAAGACAACTCATAATACAATGATATAACTTTTTTTAATTTTAACATTTTAAAACAGACTTTTTTTTAAACATTTTCTGATTTAAATAAAATCAAACACGATATAATTTCAAGACAGTCAAACATGTTTTTGTGTGGTATATGAATACAGTCAAATCTGTTTTTGTGCAGTAGATAGGGACCGCAGGAAAAAAACGCACAAAAAAAATCGTATAAAAAAGACCGCACAGAAACAGGATTGACTGTACATTTATTTACATGTCTAATATTAATTCTTTGGGAAGAAAAAAATGTTGTGAAGTTCTGCGAATCTTTGAAAGTGACAATTATAAAAGAACCTATTAACATTTTAAAAATCTGTGTGCCATCTCTTTTATATATCATACAAAATAAGTAATAAGTAATAAGTAATAATATGGTAGCAGTCACGCAAAGACAGAATCATTAAGAAATATCGCATTTATTGTCACTGAAAAATTTCTAATTGTATAATATTACTGAAGTTGCCTTTATTAGATTCGGATACACGAACATTACAATTTTTCGGGATCCTGACTCGACCCGACTTCTTTTTCGGGTATTGGAATTCTATAAACTTTCGGGATCCCGACCCGACTCCAATTTCGTGTACTCGACTTCGCGTAAAGTATTTGAAAAGTTTTTTAAAAGTTGCTACTTTAGTAGCAACAAAAGTTGTTACTTTATATTTATGTTTTTTTATTTACAGGTAGCGGAAAAAATGCTCTCAAAACTGCAGGAAAAGTTGCAGACAAACTTAAAAAAGGATTGGTTAAGGAGCCTCTAAAACACCAAACGACTAGATCATCAATGTAAGTTCCAATTCAGTATTCTTTGTTTGATAAATATTTATTTTTCTACTTAATAATTAGTATTCAAAATGAAAATCAAAGTACGATTGATCAAACGTGTTAATACGAACATAACCATCCTCTCCACCTGTAGAAAAGCTGCGACCATTTGGATGAAATGCAAGAGAATTGATTGGTCCAAAGTGACCCTTCAAACGCGCGAATTCTTCTTCAAATACTAAATGGTAAAATCGCGAATCGAACTTTCCTTGACGAGTGGACGTTGTTGTTACATCCATTGCGTCTTGACCACCACCAAGAACCACCTGTAGAAAGCATAATCCTCATGAATTATCAGAAATATGATCTTGCGTGTGTCATGATCGAGTGCGAACATACATGATCGAAAATAGGAGAAATTGTGGCAGAGTTTACAGGTCTTTCTGTTTTATATGTCTTCAATAACATTAGCGATTCACTGTCAAACAATTTTGCGGTGTTGTCTTTTGATGCAGTTACAAACATGGTGCCATCCTTATTGAACTGCATATCATTAATTTGAGACTTGTGACTTGAAACACTGTTCAACTTCTTTCTTGTCTATAAAAATAAGGTACATTGATTAGTCGCAGATAGTGTTGGAAATGTTACAAAATATTTGATGTTACTTACTCTCACATCCCAAAGAATGATTTCACCATCTTCATGGCCAGTAATAATTGTTTCATCTAAAGCACCCCATAAAATGGCAGAGATTCTGGGACCATTAACAGAAATTCTAGAAATTGCATCTTCTTGTGACAATGCTCCATCAACATTTCTGATATCTATGATGAACATCTCACATTGGTGACCGAGAGCTTTGTCTGTAGAATAGACAGCAAGGTCTGCTGAATAACTAAAGTTACATGTCCTTACTGAACTATTTGTTTGGAGTTGACCGATTTCTTTGCCTAAATGTGAATTACAAAATATAGTAGAAAATCAAATAATTTTTATGTGAATCAACTTTTCTTTTGCTTAACACAATATACAAACCAGTTTGACAGTCCCAAACTCTCAGTGTGTTGTCACCACTGCCAGATATAAATCTAGTTGTGTCCCAATTGACATCGATACACCATACAGAACCATTGTGGCCATTAAATGTTCCAAGACGTTCTCCATTCAAAGAATACCAAACATTTGGCTTTTTATCTTTACTTGACGAAAATAATAAATCTCCTTCCCTATTATATTTGATTTTTGTGATGGCACGCTCGTGCCCGTGTAACATCAAGGGTTTCTGGAATATAATGAACGATTTATTTACATCTCAGTTACATTAACATAACCATAAAAAGCGGTTAAGCACGACAGCATTTTAACCGCATTACAAAGCAAATTCATTGAACATCACAATAGCAATCGAACCTTTACAAAATCAAATGCGCTTTAAAACAATTTAAGTATGTATATACATAAGGTTTACATTGAGGTTATACTGTCACATGTTTAAATATTTTACGAAAAGTACGTTTAAACTATTGACAACGGACAATATGAATGATCACGACTAACCATCTTCTGGTGCAGTACACAATTAAATAAAATGTTTACGAAAGATCAAGAGATCCGAATCGGTTTCGTGCAGAATCCTGGTATATATGACTCTAGCCACGAGACTCCATAGCAGTACTAGGCAAGAAGTTCCAAACTTGACAAGTCCAAAGTTGACAATCGACACTGAGAGAATTTACTGTAGTAGCCTTTCACACGCACTCGAAACAGTGTACACAGGTCGTCCCAAAAATGTCTCGCAATCCGGAAATGGTGGATTTCTTAGGTTATTTGAAGTAACTTTCTCCTTAGCGAAAATGCAAACCGCGGCTTCGTTTACGAGTTATTAATGAAAAACGCCAACCAATAAGAAGCGAGCTCTGCTGACGCGAGGCGGCCGAGCCAACAAGCGCGCGAAGCCCAGCTCCGCTCATTGGCTCCGTCGTCTCGTGCCAGCAGATCTCGCCTCTCATTGGTCACTGATTTTCGTTGATAACTCGTAAACGAAGCCGCGGTTTGCATTTTCGCTAAGGAGAAAGTTGCTTCTAATGATCTCAGGAACCCTCCATTTCCGGTTTACGAGACATTTTTGAGACACCCTGTATATGCATGTGTTAGCATGTGTTGTCACAGAATATTATATTCTGTGGTCACAGAAAAATAAACTCGTACCACCTAGCGGTCGAAAATATTACTAATTAGCTTCGTCTAGTGACCGTTCGCACAACTACAGCGTGGCGATAAACTCCATGGTCAATGATCGTTGGTGTTACACGAATATGTACATATTTTGAACCATTTCGTAATAAACTGAAATTGGAATACCTATTTCTAAAAATTTAATTACTTTTAAAGAACTTCTGTTTAAAATTATATGAATTATTATAAGTTTCTGCAAACTTTCCGGCCGCAGCGTATTTCATTAGTGAGAATAGGAGTAGAAATAACTTTGCTCTGATTGGCTAACGATTCAATGCTAAGACAGAAATCATTGCGGATTGGATGCGCAGTAAAATGATGGGGATACTTGTAAAAGCTAAGGGAGGTAAAAAGATCGTGCAAAACCTGAGGTATCATTGTAGTGTATTTCTATTGGTCAATTGCAAAAGCCGCAATATCATTTTTCATTGGATATGTAGAAATGTAAGAGTGGGGTTAATAACTATAAATGCATACATATATGCAATCATATAACACCTGTGTGTAACACCAATCATCCAACACGTGTTGGATTTGTTTTGTATGTCAATTTGTTTTCATGTGAAGGTTATAGGAAGTGGCATCAGGTATATGTCAACGTGTACACTTCTCTGGCTGTATCATACATCATGTAGGTAAGGCATTTTTAAAAATGGAAAAGCATAGAGAGGTAAAGTGAAAGTATCTTTTCAAGAGTATTTCGACATAATAAAAACATATATTTATATTTCTAAATAGAAAGATGTACAATAAATATGTAACCAATTGCATTGTGGATATTTTTAATTAATTTACATTTGGAAGAATGAAATTTTATGAAATAAAAATTTATTTTTTCATAAAATTAATGTCTTAAGAATACCATAATTTTGATTATAATTTTCGTACATTTTCGCATACTGTAAATGCTGAAACACATTGATAAATCATGTAATCGATTTTAAAATAGTGGTTTCATTAATATATTGTTTTACAGATAAGGTGATCTATTAATTTCTCTTTTAAAGAAATATTTAAGAGAATTATTAAAAATTATAACTATGATAAACCCACTGCAAAGTGAGTATGGATTTATATTTTTTATTATGCAGATTCAGTACTATTCATTCATATTTTATTTGAAATTTTATTTATAGAAAACAATCAGGCATTAAAATATGTTAGTTTAATTACTCTCACATTACAAAATGCCCTTGTTGGTCTTAGTATGCGATATGCACGTACCAGATCAGGGGACATGTTTTTATCTTCAACAGGTATGTATATTGTGCTTTAATGTTAAATAATTATGATACGTACAATGAACTTATTTTTTTCCTACATTTTATATCTTCTTTTAGCTGTTGTTATGGCAGAGGTTGTTAAGCTTTTAACGTGTCTAATATTAGTTCTTTGGGAAGAAAAAAATGTTGTGAAATTCTGTGAATCTTTGAAAGTGACGATTATAAAACAACCTATTGACACTTTAAAAGTCTGTGTGCCATCTCTTTTATATATCATACAAAATAATCTCCTATATGTATCAGCGTCTAATTTAGATGCAGCAACTCATCAGGTATAGATCATTATCTCTTTAGAATTTTATTAGAATTTTTTAATAATGCTTGAGATTACTATGTAAATTACTTTCCAGGTGACATACCAACTAAAAATTTTGACAACAGCATTTTTTGCGGTAGTAATATTAAGAAAGTCTTTGAAAAATACTCAATGGGGAGCTGTAATATTATTAGTGATAGGTGTAATATTAGTGCAGTTAGCTCGAACTTCAGAAAGTGCTATATCATCTGAAATAGAACAGAATCGTATATTAGGATTCTCTGCTGCATTAAGCGCATGCTTTTTATCAGGTTTTGCTGGCATATACTTTGAAAAAATACTGAAAGATTCTGATATTTCAGTATGGATGAGAAATGTACAATTAAGTTTTTTGTCACTACCTTTTGGATTAATTACAAGTTTTATAAATGATGGTAGTACAATACGAAAACAAGGTTTCTTTTTTGGATATGATTTATTTGTTTGTTATTTAGTTGTTCTTCAAGCAGGTGGAGGTCTTATCGTTGCCATGGTAGTTAAGTATGCTGACAATATACTCAAAGGTTTTGCTACATCTTTAGCAATTATCATTTCTTGCATAGCATCTATATATCTTTTTGACTTCAATTTGACTTTGCAATTTGCAGTAGGAGCCGTTTTAGTAATTTGTTCAATTTTTTTGTATGGGCACCAACCGAAACCAACGCATGTTGACAGACATTCTTCAACCCAGAGAGCTTGACATCTGGGGGTCGAAATGTTCCGATCGGATCATTTTTCGACAGCTTATAGATTTAAAAAAAGTAATAAAAATGTTATGCGTGGCGACATCAATGTAGCCGCGCGTCGATCCCGAGATCGTGCTGTCAACGTAAATTCTAAGGTATTAAATTGAAAATAGAGAGATTGTGTTCTTGATCATTGTCAGTATTTCGTTATATTTATATAAAATAAATGTGAGTATATTATTTTCACAAGAAATAATATTTAGGAAAGCCTATTTAGTATTGGTTGTGACCAGCATTCAACAATGTAAATCATAGTTGAATAATTAATTGTACAGTTTTCGTTTTAAAATTATTATAAATGATATGCAGTATGAAAATTGTTATCTTTCTAGTTACAAATTGAACAATTTGTAAATATTACTGAATGAAAAATTCTAAAATAGCAATTGGACTATTGGATCATGAGCTAAAAATAGGCGTAATTTATAATAAAAGAATTCTTTTTGTAATTACTAATTGTCATATTTGTAGAACATAAATTATTAACCATTAAGTATTCGTAACGTTTCATAATTTCGTTTTTATGTTATTTTATATGTCAATGTTTAAAACAGTAATGGTGGCTGGTTAACCTATTTTAGTAAAAGTACTAGATAATTGTGAAGCTCGTGTGAGGCTTTATTATCTTTGTTTTTCAAATAGAGTAGATTGAAAATCGTTGCTCGTCTCAACAAACCTTTGTTTCATTTTCTTGTTATCATGGTTTCGCCTCTAATATTGTTTGAATTAATATATGATAGATATGCTTGAAAATATTATATTACCAACTTCACTGAATTATCTTATTTTTGTTATGTAATAGTTAAAATTGGCCTTTTCAATGCCAACAATAATGTGATCATAACAATGTAAGTTAGCTGATAGCAATAGGTAATCTCAAATATTGAATACATCATTTTATAAATCGTTATATTTCGCGAAACGNTGCTTGAAAATATTATATTACCAACTTCACTGAATTATCTTATTTTTGTTATGTAATAGTTAAAATTGGCCTTTTCAATGCCAACAATAATGTGATCATAACAATGTAAGTTAGCTGATAGCAATAGGTAATCTCAAATATTGAATACATCATTTTATAAATCGTTATATTTCGCGAAACG